AAAAGGTGGAAGGTAGTCTAGCGGAGCAGACTACTGCCGCACGGTGTCCCTTTCTGTGCCAAGAAGAAAGGCACCCCGTGAAACCGAGCCTTAGTCATAGAAGAACGAAAGAATGCAATAGAAGAGTCGTTAAAAGATCTAGTATATTACCCTAAACTTGAAGATTTTGATGATGATGGTGAGGACACCTCCTTAGGTGGCATCCAAGCTCTTCTTGGGACTCCAGATTCTGTATCCCGTGATTTCCCTAGTCACTTTTATAGAACCCAATTGCCTGTGGTTAGCACTAAATCGAAATTCTCCATTATAGACCAACCAGAGGCTGATGGTCAAAATGAAGTCATTAACCATAGTCCTAGCAATTTATTCAAGTCTCTGGTCCAGAAAAATCTTGGGAATTGGGACTTGATTCCTCCAGCTGTTCAAATTACATATAACAATCCTGTGAACTGGTCTTTAGGTCTAAATTCCTTTGACATGGTTGTGAACCTAGGAAAACTTTAGATCTTATTCCTATGTACCCACATGCTAGTGTGTTTATGTCAGTTGAGGTATTTGTATCATATTTTCATAACTTGCATATTGAGATCAATAAACAATTTGAAACAAATAATGCATTATATAAACTTCAAGCTGATTCGCATAAACGATATTTTGAATTTAATATTGGGGATTATGTAATATTGCAAGCTTGTAGTGCTGGTCTTTTAAAAATTTTAAAGCATATTGGTTCAAATGCACATGTCATTGCCCTTTCATCACATTTTAGCTACCACTCTACTTTAAATATTGAGGACTTCATTACTTACAAACACCGTGTTACTTCCTTTGATGATCTATTTCTACTTAGTTTTATGGACCCCCAATTTGACTATGTTGATATTTCTACTTCAATACCATCTATCACAGCACACAAAGATAAAATTGATATTATTTTAGATGAACACGTTGTATTGACCAATAATGGCAAGATTCAGTACTTCCTTGTTTGTTGGGTAGATCGACGTGCTTCTTATGTTCCTCATTATATACAATCATGTGAAAATTTTGAAGATGAGGTGCATGAATATTGGTTATTTGGAGTCCAGTATCAGTACTTGGTTAGAAGGAAAGATCGGCCCTTTGGTCAGATCATATTCTTGGGAATAAGCTACAGTTTTCAGTACTAATAATCATGGAATTTCGTTACTTGGTTCGTAAAAAAGATTGTCCCTGTGGCTTGATTTGACGCATTTGGAGTTTCAGATTGACTGCAGTCTATACTATTTATTAACTCGACAGGGTCGAGTTTTTCTCCCACACTGGGAGAGTTGATGCGGACATCTACTTTTTTATTTGTTTTTAGCTGAACTTTATTTATGTTTTAAATTTTATTTATGTAATTGGGCTTGTGTTGGCCCAAGTCCATTCTACTTAGAGTTTTAGCTTTATTATTTAAACCTAATTGCAATGTAGTTTCATTATTTTTTGATGAATTGAAGAATATTATGGTGGTTTGTTGCCTATGGCTTCTTCTTCTTCTCCCTCCCCCATGAATTTCTGATTCTTCTCCGGTTTCTCCCCCCATTCTCTCCGATTCTCTCCGGTTCTCTCCTCTTTCTTGCTTCTTCTTCTTCTTTTTTTTTTTTTTAATACGTCCTGCATCACTTTTACCATCACAATTATTTATATTAGGATAAACTAATAACTTGAGCTATGATGTTTTACTCAAATTTCGCAATTTTTTGTCAGTGATGGATGGGATAGAACAACTCAGTTGGTCTCGCTTGCGAGCTTGTTGCTTGATCCGTATTACCGGACAATCATAGGTTTTCAGGTACTTTCTTGATACTACTTGATCTTTTTTATTTCTCCATATATATGGAAATTGCAATTCATAGGGACAAAAAATATACAAATACTTGTGCACACAGAGTTCTTAATTGATGAATTTTTCTTTCATTGACTGTGAGCATTGAATTTTAGAATTGTGAATCAATATTAGCTAGTCAATTGGTTTTTTTCCCGAGTGGGTTGTACAATAATTACATACTGGGTGAATAGCTTCTAGATTAATATTTAGTACGCTGTCATAATATTTGCACGTGTCTGAAGTTTATATTATCAAGTTGGTATTGACACCTGTCTCTTAATGCTACATGAGCGAGTTTGGCTATACTTGTCATGTGATGATCATAGTTATGTTGAGAGGCTGGAGCGAGTTTCGCTTTGTGAGAGATGTTAGTACCCAAAGGCGGAGAAAAATAGAGGTATTGATGTAGGAGAGCTTTTTCGAATCACCCATCAAGCCTCCTATGATCAGTTCTGCAGTGGTTATGTGTGGACAATATAATAATGAGTTGGTAATGGATTAAGGAGCGGTAAATTATACAACCTACTTGAAAAGATTTTCATGAAATTTTGAGGCTGTTATAGGTACTGAGATAGTACCTCAGATTAAAATGTTAAGAAATGGGTTGTTTTGATTGTTTATGTACTAGGGAAGGCGTGGGCTTTATAAGTTACTATCTTATCATAGAAAAAATAATTAGAGTGCTGAAATTTTAGAAACGGGAAAAATTGATGCAGAAGAAAGAACGGAGAAGAGGAGGACTAAATAATGCACCACAGAACAGTAATTCTTCATTTTGATCCAATCTATTGAAACAAAGAGATTACATATTAATTATAAACCATAAAGGTTTCTTCTAGAACTATGACTATAAATGGGGAAGTTGAGAAGGTAGAATCTTTGAACCCTAAATATCAATTTTAGACTCTTCATAATAAGCAAGNAATTTCTCCAGTTAAACCTTGCTTCTCAACTAAACTTTATTACTTCTTTATTCTCAAATCATGAATAAAGTTTGATATCAGTTAACTTAGCTAAACACATGTTGGTCAAGGCAAAGGATCAAGGATGCTCGTTTCTTTGACTATGGAAATTTGCAAAAACAAGGTTTCAATTTAATTAAACATTAAGCCCTTGTTTTAGCCCCATTTTGGCGGAAAAATGCATTTTTGAGTAGTGTATTGATGGAAAATGTGTGGTTGAAAAATAAGGAAAAGTTTTGAATTCGTATGTAATATTATTTTATTGATAAATGTGTGGTTGAAATGATGTCAAAACACTGTTTAAGAATGCATTTTTTCTCAAAGAATGGGGCTCAAACAAGGGCTAAAGTATAGTTTATGTGCATAGCAGGCCACACATTGAGCTATGATGTACCAAGCAGCTCGAAAAGTACCTTTTCAAAATTCTAATTTTCTTGCAATTCTCATAGAGTGAGATTTGATTTCTCTTTCTAGCCTGTTTAAATGATAGCTTTGGACTTTTGGAGAGACTTTTGGTCCCTTGTACTTATCTCGAAAGGTGAAGTCTTGTGTCAGAATCAGTCATTGAATACTTATTTGAACCACAATGTCTCAACATTAAGCAGTCAATTATCCGTACATGTGGTAAAATCAAGAAATTTAGTTCTTTCAATTTGTGTTCAAGAAAGCTTAATTTTATGGCAATTTCAATGAATCTCACTCTCTTTGAAACGGAACCAACTGTGCATGGCAACACCGGTGTTGATTATTGGGCCTAAATATCTGGCTCCATATCTGACCTTTTTGGGTTGTGAAGTGATATTTAAGACCTGGTAGCGAATAAACTTCATCGATATATTTTGCTTGACTATCCGAGTAACTCGTCTTTTTGGCCCTATAAATCTCAGTGAGAAAGAAAGGCAGCAAGCTGGCATTTCTGATTCTTGTGGGTGCTTGTGGATGTATTTGGCTGATTTACGGGCTTCAGAGGGAAGCTCTCATGTGCACTACAATCTGTTTTATGATCCAACTAAACATGAAGGTCCACTGCTACCTCCAGCTGCAGCTTTGGCCCCAACTGTTTGGCCTCAGTTCCACCTTCGATGGACTTGTCCGTCAGAAGCTCAAGCAGGAGAGGTTGAAGCAATCTGTCGGAACATGGCTAAAAAAATCTCGGAGTTGCAAAAGGTAGTTTATCTGTTTATAATCCGAAGTGCATGTTTCTAATGTGTGTGTGTTAGTTTTCTGGGCCCTTGGTTCTCTTGTGAACATGTTGAGAGATGGGAGGAATGTCTTAAATATCCTGTTAAATAGAATAACCAAGGTGACCAAGATGACATTTTCGTGCTTAATGGTTTATTTTATTTTAAATAGCTAGTTCATTCTTACTTATATTGTTCCATGAAGATTAATCAGATGGTGACAAATGTTGACAGGCAAAAGAAGTAGCAGAGGCTAAAGCTAAAGAGACGACATCTACCATGGAGTCGTTGACTGTGGAGTTACGAAATGAGAAGCTTTCCAGCAGCTCGGCCTGGAATTTGACAAAGCGAGCCAGAAAAGAAATTGCGGCTATAAAGCGAGCTATGCAATCGCTGGGCTGCAAGATTCACTTTTCAGAAGATAGTGAATGCGTTGGAATTGAAAACAATGCAGCAGGGATTCCTCAGAAATCTATTTATTCGGCTTCAGATGAGGAAAGTAGTGGATATTTTCAGCATGACAATAAATCAGATATGTCTGTCTTCGATACTGTCTTGGCCGATGATCCCATCAATCCAATTACTCGTGTTTGTGAATCAATATGCCCATTACGTACCAGAGATGGAGGATGCAGATGGCCAGATGCTGAATGTGCTAGATTTGGAAGTGAGTTTGTTGGGTTGAAAGCAAATTTTAATGCATTAGATCGACTTTCTATTTACGATAGCTATTTTCAGCCAGAGTAGAAGCTTTAGTTTTGAGCCAAGTCTGAGGTATAGCAATATCGTCTTGCCATTTTCAGGCTGAAGACCTCTAAAGGAGTCGGGACGAAATTTTGTAGGTAAAGGATTTTAGTATGTGGCATTAGCAAAAATAATCGAAGGAATCCGATAACCCTCGTATTTAACATGGGTCTTGAGAGTGTACAGATCGAATGTAGCTTAGTTTTTGGCCGCATCAGTTTCTGGTCATCACTAAAGATTAGCAAAAGAGAAGTTCATAGATTCGTTGAATATTATCATTCATTGCTCAAATAGCTTGTAATTTGCTGTATAGATCGTAAGATTTATCATGTAAAACCAACTTATCGAATAAATGGCATCTGATTTGCATTCTTGTAGACTGGTTCAGTGAAAAAATAATTGAGATTTTGGAGACGTTTGATCCATACATTTGACTTGCTTGTAACTTTTAGGCAACTGTTATTCATGTGGATGGACGGCCCGATCACTTGGCACCGTCGAATTATTAAGTGTGACATTCAGTCTTTGTTCGATGGAGCTAGACAAAAAATGTATATCATCGATTAAACAGTGCTCAAAGCTCTATGGAGTAAATATAATTCATTAAAAAATCATTGAAAATAGAACAATCACGTTTTCACAGCATCGATTCCAATAAGATTTGAATTGGATTAACCATTAAATTTTGATCTCTTGGATTTTCGAACTGCAACATTCTTAATAGATTTTTCCATAAATGCAAGTGATCAACAACCATGATGAAGAAAATGTGAAAGAAGCCTTGGAAAAATCGGTAAAGGGAGAAAGAATATAGGGTGCTTAATGGGTGACAAACAGCAGGGTTGTGCTGTGTGTATACAATGGTATACACACAAATTTACACCCCCCTCACATGGAGGGGGCCCACATGTAATATAATATTCGTGGGTCCCCTACCATGTGAGCATTTTCCCAAACAGTATAGATGATCGTCAGACCGTGAGCTGCTATTTGTACAGGAAGTGTTGTCAGAATTAATATAGATGACATTTGACAGTTTTCTATTAGACAATGGCAAAAAAAAAAAGGTAGTAGATGATTGACCAAACCGGAGCACAGCAATAATATTATTAATCGTTGCAGCAATTCTTTTCTACAAGGGGAATAGCTGAAATCAACTAGACTCTCACATCAAGTTTTGTAAATAGTCAAACTAATTGATAGATGACCAGATTGTGATGCGTTTAGATTCAATGACTAACTTGTGACAAAATTTAAATTTATTGAGCAATTAGTGAGGTGGATGAAATTTCGTTGAAGTTTACTTACTACCAGCATTTTTAATTTAAGAGTTAACGTTATGAGTGTTATAAAGAGACACCATTTCCAATGTATTCGGAGTAAATTTGGCCAACCCAAGAGAAATTGTTTCTACCATGCGACTGTAAGAAATATAGCCGTACGATCGCATGGTAGTAATTTTGGTTAACGAGGCAGTTTCCTTAGCTAATTCAAACACCTTTTGGAACCCAAATTGATCGTGATTTCTAGTCTAATTTAAGCTTCTATGAATACATAACCTGGGTAGAACATTAAGGAATCTCTTTCTGACCTTTCATATCAATTCACATCATAAAATCTTTCAAGAACGAGGGATCAATTCATCTTAAGTTGGAGAGGAAAGGAAATCTAAGTAAGGAATTGAAGGCAAATAACACCAAGAACTTGAAAAAATAAAACTCGGGGTTGAAGACCAAGAACAAGAAATAAATTCCACATCTCTTTCTTGTAATTATACATTTTAGGTGATGCTTTTTCATTCTTGTTTTTTTATCATTAGAATCATAGGCTAGATTTCTTTCGTATTGAATGAAGAAGAACCTTATTATTTGATTGTTTTTAATTTAAAGACTAAGTAGGTTAGTTAATTTGTTTTTTGTTGATTAATCTTGCATTACTTGATTGTTTGGCCCCCAATTAGGTAATTAATTATTTTTGTAGTACTGCTGAGAGGTTCCCAATAAGTTTAGAACACTGCTAAGGTTAACATACGAGCAATATATATAAGGAATAACATGTAAGGTGTATACAATCATATGATAATCTCATAATTGAATGCGTTACTTTGTATACGAGTTTAAAATAAAAATATCAGTGGTTCATGATTATAATAGGTTTAACTTATTTCTAGAGAGAGAATTAAATAAAACTAGATCTTCGATTGTCATAAATTCACAAATCACACTAAATCACATATGTCAAGAACTGAAAATAGGATAATAATATGTTGATTTGGAATTCAAACGAACAAAGCCCATATTTCAGTTTAAAATAATCTTAGTTAACTAGTAGATTAATTTAGATATAATATAAAAAAATTTCTTTACATTCGAATTTGATAATGGACTAATAGAATTTCAATATAAAGTTTACTTCTCATGGGACGATACGTTTTACTTACTAAATTATTATTTGTCAATGATCTCATACGCTTGAAAGATTTTTTCGAACATTTCACTTTGAATTTGAAGTTATGTTTTAATGTAATCAAGCACAGCTTCTTGAAATTTTTTTTGGTGTCAAACAATTGATTGACTAACAAATTTTCTTCTTTTGGAATCACACATGACGTATGAGAAGATCATGAACTAGGTCCAACCAAGGAGTTCCTACCTAACTCGTGTCTACATGTAGATAATGTTACAAAACATTTGTTTGTAAATGGAATTTCCTCCTCCTTGTTTGTACTATCTTAGGGGTCTATGTGTACTGTTTATCTCCAAAATAACTACATCATTCTCTCGAGCTATCTTCACTATGCACTGAAAATCATCAATGCTAATGTCCACTTCCTCAACTGCTTCATGTTTATTCTCAAGATTATCCTTCCTCAGAAGAGTTACAGAGAGGATAGTGGTACTTTTGTTTTAGTCAATTAGCCACTTCAATTCTATGACTGAAAGAATCCTTATTGATATAACTGAAAATTGTATATTGTTAGGAAAAAGAAATTCAAAATGCATCTCGTAATCAACACTAAGGAGATTTTGTGTTTCACGATCTACTTCGGCATATGATGTATTGGCAGATACGCGAAATGCTTCGACATCTTCTCCATTACACTTGATACATTTTCATGTTCATCGGCCTTGATCACTCATTACAAACTCACCAAAGCAATAAACAATGATGATTGTCGAATCCATATTTGCATTTGAACATAAAATAAAAAATAAAAAATAAAAAATAAAAAGAAGAAGAAGAAGAAAGAAGCTAAGTACCATGATTTAAAATTGAACTCAATACCAAGTAGCTAACGTAGACAGGTTGATTAACGGGCAGCCTCTTACTAGATGGCCAATTAACCGACCACATCTTAACAGACGCGAACACTTCTTAACGGGCAATCACTATGCCTTTCAATAAGTGATCC